AACCACGATCTAATCCTGCAGTAAAATGTTTCACTGAGCTAGTTCAGAAACCAGTTATTCTACAGTGGGAAATAATTCTGTGCACTGGTGGAGTACCACGAGTGGGACAAGAACCAAATACCACAATAAGGAAACCGAACCATTCACAAGGGGACATGTAAAAACGCAGCCGCTGATGTCGAACTAAGCTGCACCCAACCATACCCAAGTATCACTTCTCACATCCTTCAGTTACCAGTGCATGTCTATAACCTTACTGGCATCTTTCTCATTCAAACAATCTGGTTTTCAATTAGAGCTCTGGAACAAAAGAAGGAAAACACATGCTTGGGTCCCTCCTCGGATCAAAGAGTTGTGGCTAGAAAATATATTGTCTCCCATTGTAAAAAAAAAAAAAAAAAAATTGTGCAATTACCTGCAAAAATTTCAATGTTTGGCAAACACAAGAAACAAATAGAAATGATTTTAAAAATCCATAGTCTTTGCATAGAGTTCTTCCCAGGATTTTCCAACTATTCCTTAACATATAATCCTCTTAAAAACACAAGGCTCAGTGCCATGGTCCCTTTGACTCATTAGCATATTCTGAAAGCTACCCACTGACCACCTGTAAAGGTTTCATCAAACTGTTTAAAAACTGTAGTGAACAAGTTTCCAACAGATCAAGTGTACATTATTATCATTAATGATCATACATGGTCACAAAGAAGTGATTAGTTCTCTCCAGATACAAAACAGGGCAGGGAATTTCAAACAAGTAAAAATGCAAACTGGCTTGCTTGTCTCTACCCAAGGGAAAACAGTGAGTGAGGACTCAGGAAGTGTCAAGTACGAGTCTACTATACAAATATTGAACCATGATGTTGTACACCTAAAACTAATATATGTCAAGGACACCTCAATACATTTTTTTTTAATTTAAAAAGAGAACTGTATGAATTGGTCAAGATAGGCAGGCAGCTAGATGACCCACTGCTGAAATCTCTCAATTCCTCCAGACCTCTCCACACTAAAAGAAAAACAAAAGGCCATTCACACTTATTTTTTAAAACAACAAATTTGGAGCCTGCTTTCTTTTGTTTCTTTTAGTTATGTTTTTCTTTAAAGGATTTACACAATATCAACTTCCAAAACTCTGTGTGGCAACTTTAAATACAGACAGCAAAGGAGGGGAGAGTGCGCCCTGACAAATGAAGGGTCATTATTAATTCTTCGAGCACAATAGCTGCATGTGTGTGCACGTGTGCATGTGAACATGTGCTTGCATGCAAGTGCACTTGTGCCATTTGTTTATTTTTAGTTTAGGCATTCAAACAATCAAGTAAGGCATTGTATTCAGATATGCAAGCTTATGTCTAAAGGAGGTAAATTAACATAAACACTACTACTCTTATAAGTTATATACCATTTTGCATAAATTTGAGATACACAAATAAACTAAGTTTTTATATTTTGGTACCAGAGGTAAGTATTAGATTACAAAAACAAACATTTATGCAAAATCATTCATGTGAAGTTAAAGAGTTCAGGCTTTTAATAAAGCATTTTGTTACCTTAAAAGAGTTTATAGCAAATGTTAGCAATGCCTGCATCATTTCTTCAAAATAGTGTACTGCCGTAAGAACAAAATGTAGAATAAGAAGTCACTACCCAAAGAAAAGAGTGCTTCAGTATTTTTTTCTTTCTCTGCAATAAAATAAAACCTCACTAAGTGAACAGTTTACCAAAAAGAAATAGGTCATCTGCAGTTAATAACTCTTTCATGTAAAATTAGTGTCACTTATTTCTGTAGCAGACGCCTAATTCAGTCACAGACTTGATTGATTTGACAACAGAGAATCTGGTCCAATAAAGTGGCTGATTTATTTCCGATGCTATAGCTTTTACCCTAATGTGACATCAGAGCAGAATGAAATCTTTGACAAGTAAAAAAATCCTTTACAGTTTTTCATGAAAATCAAAGCTTCTGAAAGTGGATACTGGATTGTTGTCCAAAACTTAAAGTCTACTATCTTCTTCTGGTAGAACGAAAACTTCCACAAACACTATAACACAGAATATGGATTTGGACACAAAGAGTAGTTTAGAATATACTATATATGCTGTAAATTCAAATTGCTGGCTATGCAAATAGGTCTTACTTCATCTTTGTCTTTGTTTGTAAACTGGTTGTCTTTAATTTTTTGAAAACAATCTAGCTTCTCTTTGTAAAGGTACAGCAAAGCACCAAGCATGGCTCATTTCAAAAGTGGTTTCATTTTAAATCAACAGCAGCTTGGGCAAAATCAATGAGCATCTTTGTTCCCTGAGTCTAGCCCTGAGATACTCAAGCCAATCAAGAAGGCATTTGGGATGTGAAAAATTATCTGGGGGTAGGGGGTAGTTAATGCAGCATCCTAGCAAGTTCTCTAAAAATATTTTTAATTCCTTTCCAAAGTAAAAACACGAGGAATTCCATAATAGTTAAGTGCCTTTTTCTCTCTCCTTTTATGCTTTCTGCACACTGCGCCACGGCCTCTCTCTCCGAGGACAGCTCCTCTGACCCTAGTCTGACACTGCACCGTCAATGTCAGATAAACCATTTAGCCCAAGCACAATTCTTTTCTGTGCAAAAATCTGCTTGAGGTGGAAAATGTAGCAGTTTGTAAACAATAAAGAGCCATGTTTCAGACCAGACAGCTTATCTAACAGAGAAGTCCTTTCATGGGGAACAGTGGGTGGGAGCCTCCGGACATAGTAGCATTTCCTACCACAATGCAGGAGACTGTCTTGGCCTCCATATTTAAGGGTTTAATGGGAAGGAGGGCAGACGGGGTAAAGAACACAGCTGACATGGACTTTCAGCTTAAACAACAACTAAGTGAAGAGAGTCAGCTCTCTGAGCTCCGGCTGTGGACGCTCAGCCCACTTATATCTTAAATACTATTTGAACTGGAAAAAAAAAAAAAAAACGAATTTGGTTTGTAAAACAGCTGCCCAGGAGGATGCATAAACAAGAATGATTCTTTGCTATCTTTGTATTGCTTGGTGTCTTCTGTTATATTAATTTATCAACTTGTTCTTTAGGAAAACATTTCTTCATGGACATAATATAAACTTCTAAATACGAGTAGTAATTTATTTATCCCATTTTATCCTCATCGAAGGATAGTTTTAGAATTCTTCAGGACAATTCTCTAAAATACTCTTTAGGTGTTACTTTTCAAGATGACTATTTTCAAGTTAATCTTTTACTTTATGAAGTTGGATAAGGATAAATAGAGAAAGGATAGTGTTAGACTTTAAAATTACTGCTATTGTCATTGAAGAATGTAATATTGTTCTTTCAAATATAAGGTGACAAACATGTCTAGTCACCTGCATCTGCCTATCCTGGAAACAGGAAACACTGCATCTCATCATGATTCATTTTAAAAAGCTAGGATTCTGGCTTTAGCTACAGAGCTAAAACATAAAAGTTACCATTTTAAATTAAAAAAAAAAATAAGAAAATATAAGAACAACCCATGGTCAAATACAGCTTTGAGATCCTGATTCTCAAAGTTGGGATGACATTTAATCACCCATTAAAAATAAATTCCTAGTATTTCTCTGCTTTGACTACTGTGCATTTAATACCTGAAGTCCCTGTAGATGGATTTGACAGTGATTTCTGAAAAGATGACTCATACTCAAGAATGATCTACACCTTAAATAACAAGTATAGGGATGAATTGAGAGAGGAGCATTAAAACATACACTCTATCACATGTAAAATTAAATAGGCAGTGGAAATTTTGCTGTATGACGCAGGGAGCTCAAACCTAATGCTCTGTGACGACCTAGGGGTGGGATGGGGTGGGAGGTGGGAAGAAGGTTAAAAGAGGAAGAGGATGTATGTATACCTAAGGCTGATTCATGTTGATATGTGGCAGAAACCAATACAATATTGTAAAGCAATTATCCTCCCATTAAAAATAAATTTAAAAAATTATAAATAATAGAACAAAGTTAACATTAATTTACAAAAGCAAGTATAGTAACCAAGGCTTAAAAATTAGGACATTCCTCAGAAGCATCTGCAATTATGGTTTCAGAATGATACATGTATGGCTGCATGTCTTCCTTGGAGTATAGTTCAACAGCTTCTGCCAAGAAATTTAACCTCATTTATTGATGGATTCGCAACAGGATTTGGCCAAGTTGAGAAATTGACTAATATTGTTAACGCTCACATTTATTAGAACAAAGATCTTTTTTTTCCCAATCAAAACTAAAGTAACCAGCTCTTGGGACCTTTTAAGTCATTATAAATTGTCTTTTCATTGCTCAAGATACTGCTTTTTTTTTTTTTTTAATCCCTACAGGTAGTCAAAGCAGAAAAAATATGCTAAGAATTCCAACAGAAAAGACATGCTGGAAACACAAAGCCTGTCTCAAAGTACACATAGGTCACCTCATTAAGCAGGATGGGGACCTCCTAGATCATTAGCACTAAAGTTCACACCTTGATAATACACAACCAGACTTTACAATTCAACTTGAACATGCTACTTTGATTTAAGCACACTAAACCTATTATTACAGGAATTTCCATGACCCCTTTCATAAAAGTTCAAGCTAACACAGACTTTATCTCATTGCCACCTGATAGACTCAATGATATTATATATTTAAATATTCACCATTTTCACTTCATCAGCCTTAACCCTAGAAAACTACTGCTGCAACAATGAATTGGGAGAAGTGCTTTACATCTAAGGAACACAAATTTCCCATGTAGATTCAATATCACTGAAATTAGGTAATTCCACACAGTTGTAAAACTTAGTCCTGTATGCACTATTACCAAGCAAAGACCATCAATATTTTTCTGCAATAAAGTAATTTAAAATTACTTTAGTGAACTAGCTAAATAGCTAAGTTCTTAAAAATAGAATCTGTGTCTGGGCTTGTATTCTACCTTTGATGGTAAAACATAAGCATTCCAAAAATTCATGTTAATTTAAAATTAGTCTTACTTTGTATTCTGGAATTGACAAAAGGTGGAGAGAGATTGTCATGTGACCCAAGGTCCCTGCTGGTCATGTGGTCATAGGGAGTCCCATCTCCATAGTTCTGTAAATAAAATAACAGCGTAAGTTTAAATTTGCCATGAATCAATCAGCACCTAAGTCTGATTACTGACACCTCTCTGACCCAAAGAAATTGGAGTCCACCATTCTCACCCCGGCACCTTATTATAAGAAAGCTGCATCTTCCCAGGTACAGTGTATAAGAAGGGCTCTAAAATTTGCAGAGTTCATATTTTCCCCGAAATCATAGTGAAACTTGGGCGAATAATAATAGTGGAGCCAACTGTATCACGATATTATGATCAAATGAAATAATGCAAGTAAAACACCTGATACCTATAAAATATATTGTAAATAGTAATTATTATTTTGATAAGCCCACATTATTTTTTAAAAAAAGAGAGCAAATGTGCTATGGGAAAGTTACTCATAACCTGCAATGAACTGCCTTTGGAAGGCAAAGGTAGGACCTTGTAAACAGCAGCATTTGGTTTTATGATATTGAAATTTCAGTGTTTTGTTATAGATGTTATTGTGGTTGTAAAAGAATTGGATCATTCCGTAAGAAACCAGCTACACGAGAATGTTAAAATTATTACAACAGGACTGTAAATGAATATCAGAATTTAAGCATAAATTCTGGATTTGGACAAAGTATGCCACAAAAAAACAGTTTTAAAGTAGACGCTAATCTTTGGAAATTTGTAATTACTATGATCATCTCATGATTCAAAGGAGAATTTTAACTTAAAATAAGGTTTTTAAACTGCCCAGTCACTTGCTTTTAATGGAGGAGTTAGGTAACATACAGGAAAGAGTTAAAATCATCTAAATCATAGGGTTCAAATTTTAGGTTACTAAGGTACATAAAGTGACCAGAAAGGAAAAAAAAAAAAATGTCATGCTGCTCAGCTGGTTGCACTGCCCATAAAGACTAAGTCAAATTTACTCAGAGGTATCAGTTGGTATGCTAGCTAAAGGGCAGAATCCTCCTCCATGAAAAGGATGGATACTGTATGAAAAATGAAAACGCACATCCCTTCACTAAAGAAGTGACAGGAACTACCCCATTTTCAACTGCCTTTCCTCAGCTATAAAAAAAATAACTTGAACGATACTGTGATGGGATGCTGCCAGTACATCAGGGCATAAAAGGATATCACATTTTAAATACCTATCGTTGCTCTTACACTCACTCATTCTATACCAGACATTGGTATACTAATTATCGTTTATTCAGTATCCTCACCCTACAGAGTTATTAAGAGCTTAGTATACATTATCTAATTTAAAACCCAGCACAGTGTTTCAAGATGACTGGAAATATCACCACTTGAAGGTGAGAAAAAAGAGACACCTGGCCTCTGGCTGTCCGATACAAGCCAGCCACAATAAGCTGTCTCATGCCAGCTCGCTGCATTTAAAAAATACAAATTACAAAATATTGAGTCAAAGTCATCCATTAATGAATTCCCTGGAAAAAAAAAAAAAGGCCAGACGATTCATGAAAGCCAAATAAAAGTCAGGACGATCCTAAATGAACCTCCCTCTCAGAAGACCAATTAAAAGAACTACATGTTGTATTAAAACAAGAAAGCAGAAGACATTAAGTTCATGTGAATGAACTCAACAGTAAGAGGGACATTCTGTTGTCTCCCACACTTGCTGTCAAGGGGAATGGATTGATTCCTGCAAGTGAGGACTGTAATGTGAGGAGGAGGAAAGATTTCCTCAACCCATCCATATAATGCAGGAGAATCTGAAACTCAACAGCTGGTGCAAAGTCTCAGCGAAGTTCCTGGTAAGCCTAGAGCTCTGGCTGTACCGAGACCAGCGCATGAGCCCCAAGGCCAAAGAACAGGTGGAAATGGCCAGCACAGCTTGCTGAGAAGGCCTCCTTCGGACAGCCTGATTACCTTCCTTACCTCTTATGCCAAAATACAGGCCACCCTCCACCCCAAATGTGTCCCCCCACTCCCCGGCCCTGCAGAACGTCTCATCTATCTACACAACTGCTTGGGGGAGGGGCAGCTCTTTTGTGTGGTCTATGTCTACTGTTAATCTGGAGTTATATGTATTACTATAAAAATTGATAGGGCTTTCAGAAGGCCTAGCGATGACTCCATTAAAGAAAGATTATATATATATAAAATCTTCACATTTGAGTTAGAAGGAACAGGAAAGATCCTCTGATTCAACTTCTTTATTTTAGAAAGTAGCAGTATGAGGCCCAAGGAAGTGAAATGACACACCCAAGGTCATACACATACAAAGACACACATGGCCTAACCACCCCACTCACACCCCAGGCCATGGTCTTCCCATGACACCCTAATAACCTAAAACCTTGAAGAGGAGTAGCAAAAATCTGCAGCAATTAAGACACGATTAAGACATTAAGCAACTTTTTTTTCCAAATGACTCTGCGCCATGGTCTGTAAAATACAAGACTGACTTAAGGAACACTGATAAATGAGCAAGTCCAAAGAATAAGACTGAGTCTAAATCAGATCGTATCCATTCACTTTGAAGTTTAAGGATTTTGGGTTGTGTGTGTTTTAAAAATAAAAGCTACTTTCAATTAAAAAAAAAAATTAAATGAACGAACCCACTGGCGACCAAAGGTACTAGTGGTGGTGAGACAATCACATGTTTACAAAGTGAAACCAACACAGATTTATTATGCAAATGATACTGGAAGCTACAACTTCACAGCCTGTCTTCAGAAATATTCAGTGGCCTACTCACACCAATATATTACAGGGACACAGGGATCTTTTTTTTTCAAAGTTGCACCATCTACAAAAAACAACTTTCTGTTAACACTGGATCAGTAACTGGCAAAGCGAGGCCAAATATTTAATGAAGGGGTTGTCTTCTGGTTAGCCAAAGTAGAAGGGGTGTCAAAATCAATAATAATATCCAATAAGAGCATGAAGAAAATGCCAAACAGAAGCTGATCCTCATTAAACTCAGTCCGCATATACAGCCGTGCAGACGCGTGTTGCAGAGAAAAAACTCACCTTCAGTTTGCCAATTTACATATGAGGATGTCTGCTTGTGGGGAGAAGATTAGATATACTTACCCTGGACGGGCTTGGATGTCCTCCACTCCCCCAGGACCCTGAGCTACTTCTGTCTTCTACATCTAGGGACAAGAGAAAAATTCTTTAGGCTTTCTTGCAATAATTCTTTCTTTTTGTATATGCACTTTTAAATTAATGTTTCAAATTAATCTCCTGTTGCCTTTAATTAAGAATCAGGCACGAGGCTACCATGATGATAGTAGCTTCTGACCCAACTACTTAAATTAACTCATTTAAATTCACAGCAGAAACGAACTGGACCCTCAGGAACCAGAGGTATGAACATAAAAATTATTTCCATCCTTCACAATGTTTCATAGCCTCAACTTTTATCAAGCTGAAATTGCACTTAAAATCTTACTAAAATCTTTTGGACAGGTTAAAACTACACTAACACAACCTTAATATACACACATACACAAAAGTTAAATCAGGTAAATATCCATACTAGTAATATTATTATTAGCAGCATGCATGCCATAATGCTCCTAGATACTTTCTGTCCTCTTACCCGCTCAGACAAGCCACTCAAGGCCTACCCACCAGACAACAGACATGCAACAAAACATGTAAGATGAAAAAGGACATTAACAGTCTATTTCCATCAAGACATTACAAGGATATTAGGAGACGTTTTTAAGTTTCTTAGGACCACACCATCTCAGTCTTTTATTTTTTTAAATAGGCACAACACTTGGCCTACAATTCTTAATCGGGACAGTGAGATGTGGACACAAATGTTGTTAAAGCAATGTTTTATTTTGATAAATTATGGCGAAATGACCTATATGAACTCCCAGAAGGCTGGAATTCTCTAGGCCCTGTACCAGCGAAGTTCTAATGCTGACCAAATTCGAGACGCTTCTTCAGTGCTTCAGGTGGCAAATATGCAGGATGGGGAGTCTGACAGCTTAAGTTCCCATGTTCACTGTTCAAAACATAAAAGTGCTCAAAAGATCAGTCACTCTAAATTTAGAAATGGCTTTGAGATTTTTGATGAAAGGCCCTTTCTGAGTATAAAAAGTCTCACTGTTCTATTATCTTGATCACGGTGGGTAACATACGGCCATCACAAGCTTCCTCTGACAGGACTGGAGGAGGAGGTGTGAAACCAGATCAGGAGATGTACTCCCATTGACTGTTCTCTAACGTTTCAGTGATACTGTTTCTTAACGCACTACTGTCCTTCCTTTAATTACTCCTATTTTATCATCAGCAGAAGTAATCATAGTATAATTAACTGACTTATTTGGGGGTCCGATAGAGGACATGGTGTTTTAGAATATATTAAGAGATGGACTAGAAACAACAGGCGAACAACTAGGACCACTAAACTTGAAATCTTTTTTTAAAGAAATATCGTTTCATTTACTTTGGTCAGTTTGTCTGAAGAGAATGCAAATGCAAACAGCTATCCCCTGCGGACAGCTAAAATCAGTGCCTGCAAGGGACTTCCCTGATGGTCCAGTGTTTAAGACTGCACTTCCACTGCAGAAGGCAAGCACTGGATCCTTGGTCAGGGAACTAAGATCCCGCATGCTACGTGGTGCAGCCAAAAATAGAAAAGAAAATGAAATTTTACAGAAAATTTTCAATAAATAAAATCAGTGACTGTGAGTGTTAAGAGATGTCATGCAAGCTCTGAAGAGGAAGTCTGGAGAAAAAGTATAATACTTTCCCCAAATTTGCTGTTTAACAACCAAACCTCCTGGCCCACCTACTGTAAGCTGAACTGGGGGATGTATATAGAAAAGAGACTTAGAACTCTTGGGACTGTCACACAAGTAAGTTTTGTAGCCTGCCTGGTTCTCATCATCCTTAACACCAAATCAAATTTATTTTCACACACAAAAAAGGTATAAATGACAAAATCTATCAACCAGAAGTCTGCACATCTTGATTTCCTTCTCACCTGAAACAGCCAACCTGGATTAATTTGAGAGATTTTTCCTCTTAAACTTGGCCCCAAAAGTAATGAAGGAACAGAAGTGAATCTATACGTCTACCCTATGATTTTGTTTTGTTTGGACCCATTTTATCCATTTTCAAAAAGGATTTCAAACATGAAACAAAGGCAGAGACAAGGAGGAAAGGGAACAGTAGTACTTCTTGGCCAGTAGTTTTGCCCTAGGGGTGATTATGGTCCCCAGAGGGCATCTGGCATGTCTGGAGACATTTTCAGTTGTCACAACTTGGCAGGGCATGGAGGCGGGGTACAGCTAGTGGCATCAAGTGGTTAGAGGCCAGGGACGCTGCTGAAGGTTTTATACATGTCAGAATACCTGCACAACACAAAATATCCTGGTCTCAAATGTCAACTGTTCCAAGGTTGAGAAGTCCTCTTCTAGAGGACAAATTCTATTAAAGAGCAAAAAGGAAGAATCAAGCTGGAAAAAAAAAAGATGTACTAGAATTCAATTTACAATGAATACAACCTGTTACTAAATACACAGTGAAGTTATCTGAGCCCAGATTTAAGCCGGAGTGTTTCAAGAGACCTTCCTATACATCTTCTGTCCACAGAATAAAGGGAAAATGATGGTCAACCAAGCAGGCTGCTAATTAGCAGGCAAATAAAACACATCAAAACTTGAGTATTCCCAACTGGGCAATTTCAAAAGCGAGCAATCCACTAATTAAAAAACACTGGAAGTCTAGCTTTTTCAAAACAGGTTAAACACTGGCTGGGTTCCTTCATAAATAGATTCCCACCCAATCAAATCTGACTGCTCTTTTCCCATTCTTTCCCATTTCCATCCTCCTCATTTCCTGACCTCATGCTGCTGTACCTTCTTTTAGTCTTCCTTCCTTTTATTGCTCTTTTTAACAGGCTTTTCGTTCAGTGGCCTCCTGCAAATTGAGAAGGTAAGGACAGCTCTCTTGCCCTCCGAGACTTAACAGAACAATCGTATGACTTCTGATATTTTATATTTGAAAGAATGTCTGTACAACGGGTGCTCCTTGATCCAGGGCAAGAAGACTCAAAGCTACAGCACCCAACGAATGTAAACATGTTCTTTTTAAGATATTCGTTTCCATCTTCCCTCCCACTGAGCTTCCTGAGACCTGCCAGTAAGTCAGCAAGCATTTCCTCAAAGTGCGCCTGAGGACTGCCTATGTCTGGATCACCTGGTATGCTCATTTCAAAATTAGCATCCTAGGCTCCACTGCAGACCTACTGATCCTGGATCTCTGAAGGTGGGGCCAAGAAAACTGTGTATTTAACAAGGTCTTCAGGTAATTTTCGTGTACACAGGAGCTTTGAGAACCACCAGCCTCCTCCACTGGAAACACAAGACAGATGCATGCCCTACCACACCACCCACCGTCTACCTCACATCCTGTCCTAAAGTCCTTGGCCAGGTGGCCGGTTTCTGCAGCATTCAGTCCATATTCCCATCGCATCTACATCCCAGTAGTTCTTGCCCAGACTCACTTTTACGTAAGCCTTGTATATGGCCTACACGTGGCCATCCCCTGCTCCCAGCTGGTGTACCTGGGCACCGCACACACGTTCTACCTCCAGGTATTCCTACCTGCTATTCCTTCTGCCTGAGCTGTTTCTTATCTCTCAAAAAATAATATTAGCTAATATTCTGTGAGCTTAAACATGCCAGGCACTGTGCCAAGCGCTTCAATACACTAATGGTATCACCATTTTATCTAGGAGGAAACTGAGGCTTAAACGGGACAGAAAACCCTCTCAACATGACAGCAGATGGCAAAGCTGGCAGACACAGGGGCTGACCATATTCAAGTCAGGAACGTTCTCCACCACAGTCAAGGTCTCCCCAATAAGCAGCTCAAGTCTCTCTACAACCAGCTCGAACATAACTGCCAGTCCCTTCTTCCCATGGATGTATTTACTTTTGGAGTTTATATCCACTCTTGTGTCCACAAAAGATTATAGAATGACTACAACACAAATATATAAACCCAGGTCTCATGCACTGCAGACAGATTCTTTACCATCTGAGCCACCAGGGAAGCCCCAGTCTTGTGTCCACAGAAGATCATTGAATGTATACAACACAAATACATAAACTGAAATATCTGAAGGAATCAAAGAGACTGGAAAATAAAAACAGGAGGACAATCAAGCCATATGTACAATGAACTTATCAAAAATGTACACTGTGGGAGTTCCCTGGTGGTCCAGTGGCCAAGACTTCGTGCTCCCAATTCGGAGGACCCAGGTTCAATCCCTGGTCGGAGAACTAGATCCCACACATCATGTCTCACAACTAAGAGTTCAGATGTCATAACTGAAGATCATATATACCACAACTATTGGACCCAGTGCAGCCAAATAAATAAATATTAAAAAAAAAAACTTTAAATATACACTGTGATGGATGGGATATTTGTGAGAGAGGGGTCAAAATTCCAGTGGGCAGAGAGTAAAACAAGATTCATAGCCTTGGATAAAAATACCCAAACTGTTCAGGAAAGTCACTAAGGCAACATAGTTACAAATGAAAAACTGCCCAAGACAACCCAGTTCTCATGTCTCCCTTGTTGCTGTCACCCTATCCAAGACAGGAACACATAAGAGAAAGACAACCACCTGGACGGAAGGAGGCGAAGGAAAAAGGAAAGTGGACGACAGAAATTATTCTTCCGAAGACTGAAGTGGGTTCAATTGTTTCTAATTTATTTTACCCTAGACAAGGACAGACTGAGTAACGTCCATGGTTTTGACAGTTGCTTTAGGAGGCAATCTGACCATCTACAAATTTTCATTTCACTTGAGTAGTTCTGCATAAGGCCCCTCTAAAATGCCTGACATTTCAACACTAAAACACAAAAGCAAAGCGTGGGTAGAATGAGGATCAAACACTCTATTTAGAGAAAAGATATACAGAGATGAATTTTAAAGTCTACAATTTCCCATCCATACTCATTGATTATTCAAATTTCCACTCTATGTGGACAGTGAGATCAAAACTATCAGTAGACTGGACAAATGTCAGAAAGCACAGAGCTGGAAAAAAGACCTAGATTTCAGCCACAAGACTGCATTAACCAGCTCTACGGTCTGAGCCAGTCACTAGACTCTTTG